GTCTGTTTTATTCATGTACCGGGAACGCTTAACACAACCGTCATCTCGATTTGGCTTATTGTTTACTTGTACAGTTTCACGTGGGCGGTGTCGTTAAATAAATACCGCCTCCGTCAAATAACACCAATGTGAGAAGTGAATTTGTTAAGCAACGCTGATAATGGCTCTTTAACTCACTTGGTAACTTTTAACTACCTTCGTTAGATTGAAAATGTATGAGACACTCGACGATGCTCCACATTTACGAAGCCTACGGGCGGTGGAAAATGCAAAAGTGGCTCGCACTTTATGCTGTTAACCCCGATGTGCAGTTTAAAAAGTTTTGCATAGTCACGCTCTAATTTATATCAAACCAAGTTTCCACAAAACTCTAAAACGAATAAGGTTTTATTGCAGACTTTGCAGGATTTCTTGAAAAGAGCAAGATTGTCATCTGTTAGTATAATTGGATAGAAAAGCGCACGTAAGAACTAATTATATAATATAAATAGATTTGTAAAACATGAGCTCTGTTAAAGGTCTTGAAGACTATCTTATAACAAAGTATGCTTTGTTAATAAGTCATACTTAGATTCGCTCTAATTTTCTCGAGAAAATTTTAAACATGGCAAAATAACGTTTTTGTTTAGAAGCTTACTCTCTCTTTATTGAGATTCGATGTTAACGAGGTACAGTTTAATTATTGGAATAGCACACGCTTTCACATTTACTGTAAGAAAACTTTCCTCGTAATTTATAACTATAACCAGCGGTAACAGAACTCGAATATATCTCACCAAACATTGTAGCTTGTAGATATGGTAACCAGCTCAATTATCATAAGTCATGAATTTTGCTACTCTTTGTTAGGCTTTGTATCACATCGCGGTAGACGTTGAATGTCGGTTCAAAAATATATTACAGCTTTTATGCGTATTATAAAAATATTTTGTTAACTCTGTTAAATTCTCGTTTACTTATGTTGTATTTTTAATGTGATTAAGGTAAATAAAAATTGCACACGCCAATAAAAGTAAGTAAATGCCGCAAAAAGATAGAGAAACTTAAATACCATCATAAGTATTCATTAAAAGTTCTACCATTATTATGAATTGGTGCGTTATTTCCAATTAATAGTATCCTAGAACGCTCCGCCATAAAGGCTTAAAATAGTGAATATTTTATAAAATTAAAACGTATGAAATTGCTACAATGTGGAAGTAAAGTGTAAATGATTTCCTTGGGGTATAACCCGACAGTTGCACTACTATTACCTTTTGTTAATTTTGTACTAAAGAACAGTACAGTAAAAGTAGGTAATATGTAAATGTACCTATAAAACTAGTCTGTATGTCTTCTTAACAAAGAATATACAAATTACCAAAAAAAAAATCTTTACTATCTATCTTCTATCTATACTAATATAATAAAGCGTAAACACACACTGTGTTGTGGCGTGAGATGTCAGCAATTACAGCATATTTTTGAATAACTCATTTTTAATAAAAAAAAGCCCTACATTTACGTCACGCTTTAGGCTATATATTTCCCACGCTAATGTGGGAAAGAGACCATAAGTTTCTGCCAACATCAAGGAAGCAAGGTTTCCATGGTTTGTCATCGTCATGTCATTTTGACATTCGCAATTCATAATTTGACACATGTAAACAATAAAATAAAATGTTCATAATTTTATGCGGATGAAGTCGCCTGGGAACAGCTAGTTTAACTACATTTGTGCTCCAACGTGTTATAGAAAGTTCTGAACATCTATAATTCATGTATTAGAATCAAATTGTTTTTCCATTCATACACAAGGATGTTGAGATATACTTAAATTCTCGCTTTTCTACATTTTTCTAAATCACACATACACTAAGGATTACCGTAATTCCATGCTTACAGTATCAATGAATGTTTCTGTTTCAATAGGATGAAGGTGAAGTCCGGGTTGCGGTTAGTCAGCGTGTCAGCCGCGAACTCCCGCTGGGCGGTGACCGCGGAAGTCAAACCTCGCGCGGCTACCGTGACTGCGACGCGGCTGGAGCAACCGCTGCGAGATGATGATCAACTCGAAACGTAAGTGTGGCACAACCTTTATATCTTACATTGATTGTGGAAATTTATTTCTAATGTTGGCAATGGCAAATGGCAACACTGTTCTTGGCAATCATAGTTTTTTTTTCTACAATTTCAATCTAAAAGTCAATATAAATTGGAAACAAATATTTGTTTTTTAAGGTTTTTTTTTCATTAAATGACACGATACTTATTGTAAGAACCTCGTTTTTCTGTACGAAAGCTATAAAAATGCAAAGAATCTCAATTCAATTCTTACGCCGTGTTCAATTTCCTTTCTGCAATATAAATGAGGAAACTAAATTGAAATTTTATTATGCGTCCGTTACTATTGTACAGTAAAGAATAAACCTAGCCTAATTTGTTTCAGATTGTTTTAAATCAATTATTATTGTTTAATTAGTAAGGTACACTGACTAGGTAAATACTACTTTAGAGCTTTTTAAAAAGGATGTAAAAATGATATTTTAAACATAACACGCTTTAATGGAAATAAAAGTGCTCTCCGTCACCAAATTAGTTCGTTGAATATGCAATTTCCCGAGTCTTTACAATTTGCCTAGGCGAATCACAAACGGATGACATTCACGATCTGACAGTCACATATACGATAAGGTTCGACTAACTTTATTGCATCTGGGACTGTAGTGATTGGCATGATTCCAGTGCAAATTTAAAGGTTCCATTCGGTATCTATTTTATTCAACCTTGCGTGGAGCCATTTGATTTTCCCGTTGTCCCAATGTAGGTCGACTGTCCGGGGAAATAAAGCCACTTAGAATATAACTAAATTTATAAAGAAATACAATTTCGTTTATTGCGGCCATTCCATAATATAATTTAGAGTAAACTTTGAATTTGCTATTTATTTGAAGATGATAAATTATCTTGTTAGGGTTTTATAAACAATGTGAAGTTTTCGCATTATTCTATTTAGTTATTAATTTAATTAAAAGTAAATGTTTCCCATTGTCATGCTCGGTTAAAACATCGCTAATAATCCGCAGCTTTTGGTCTCTATTTTGTTCGTAACCATGTCGTGATGTAATTTGCGGTTTGGCGCAGTACGACGCAAATGAAACTGAACACGAATTGTTTTGAAGTCAACATTAATTAACTGCTTTTATTGTGTTTTCAGTCAAATATTGTGCTATTTTTAAATACTTTTTTTTTGTTAATGGGTTTAATAATAAACAAATGAAAGGCTACTATAAACGGAAGCTTCGCCGTCGGTACAGGTTTAAGTACGTTTGCGACACATGGATCGCAATTTGCAATCGCTGTTTTAAAATGCAACCGAGGCCATACACCAAGCGCTCGAAACAGTCCATGTATCTGACACCCACAAAGACCAGCAAGTCATTAATCATTGCATTTATTTGTCCAGAGATGTGGAAGATACCGTTGGCGCTGGTGGTCCCGGTTGGGAGGAGATTCTCACGTGGCTTGTGGAAGTTGGGGCTGAAGGCGAGGGGGACGCCGAAGGCGCGGAGGGAGAATCGGGTCGCGGTACCGCGCGTCTTTCCTGGTCTGCCAAAGTCTCATCAGCGCCTAGTTCTGGCTCTACAACTGAAGAAACACCACACGAGCACAGAGTCAACACGCGGTTGGACATCGAAAAGGATGATATACAATCTGTTCTGCCAATATCTAAGGTACTAACTTAACTGACTTTTTTGCATATTTGTAGAACCCTACCGTTTTCCCAAAAACTTTATTATCATTCCAGTCGTCCAAAATCGTTATTTTATCAAGACTGACAATAAATTAAAAAGGATTTGTATTCGTGGTAAATAATGAAGCGAAAGGGACCTCCTCGTTTATTATTGGAACGGTACTTTATTGAGTTTTAAAGGCTTTGGTAAATGAGTCATTACAATCTTCCTAAATTTCCTATTCTACGACAAACTTCGGGGTCGAGTAATCATTATTCTAATTGTATTTTTCATCTGAAATTGCAAAAATTAGATATTAAGTACTTATTTCGTGCAATTTCAAAAGAGAACATACTCTCTACAGAAGTGTTTGATAAAGATTTGGAAAATTTAAATATTTTTACTTTATATAAACCAGTATTACATTAAGCTACAATATGAAAATAATTAATTATTTGATAGATAACTAATTGGTTCCTCTGATTTGACAAGATAGCGTTTACTTGTTAGATTGGTGTCTTACAATATTAAAAAAAAGTAATAAAGAGGAGCAGTACTTAAATTTAATATGACAAAGTCCAATATTTACGTTCACTCCTTTAATAACTTGCTCCTTGTAGATTCATAAACAAAACGTAAAGACGAATTTTAATTAAACGTTGCCCTGAAACTAAAAATAGAAAAACAAAGGTACAAGGGAGAACGGTGGAGCCGAAACGTTCCAAATTTAATTTAAGTAATGGGGTAGGTAACGGCGAAATAAAGGGTACACCTCACTCAATAGAGTTATTAAGCCAGAATTTTAAATAAAACATTTTAGGTGACAGTTTACGCAGGTTTTTCGATTACGTTGTAAAGTAAAAAGTTTATCTAAAAGTTGGAAGATGTGATTCAATGCCATTTACCTTATTTGAAAATGATATTTGCTTTATCATTTGGTATAAATAAAATTGATTTAGTGTGTTACCACTGAGCTCCTTGCGTCAATTATTCTTTTCAGAACTTTAATTTACGTATAGCAATAGCAACTAATTTTTATGTATCTTTATCGCTTGCGATTTAAGGATATGGAAAACGTAAACATAACCTCTTAACACAGCATTAAAAGTAAAAAGAAAGTTTCTCACATTTGCATTATTAAATAATCAAATAATATAATTTTCTCCAAGAGACCGTTGAATTAAATTATCCATACATGTCCGAGTCCGACCCTTTTCAATTATGACCTTGCTAATGTTGTTAGTAAAATGTATTTGTTGAGGACTTTATCTGATGTGAGTCATTAACCCGGGATAAGCCAATCAGTCTGTTGATATATGTAAGTTGAACCCTTGTATCCGTATGCCAATTGATATAGATGATTGAAATGACCGTTATCACGTGTTCCTAATTAGTCCGCCATCTTGAATCGACGTGTACACCATTAGCGTTGTGAGAGGATAGTAATCTGTTAGGTATAATAATGTTGTGAATGTGAAAGTTGGATAGATGGATGTTTGTTAGTGTTTATAGCCTAGACTGCGGAATGGATTTCAATGACATTTAGCACAGACGATAATCTAGTAGAACACATAGGTTATATGCTTTTTATTTCAAATCTACTCGTACGAAGTCGCGGTCGCGGGTAAGATGATATTAATGAAGTTTGTTTATATAAATATTCTAATGTATAAACAATGTAAGATTAATGCTACTTAATTAATTAAAAATCAATCCTCTAAAATATAAGAACGTCAAATTATAATTTCAAATAAGCACTTAACCACATGATTTACATAAAACTCGATGCTATTTATGTTCGAGGGAGTGTAAATAAATTAGGTAGCGATATTAACGTGCACGACATTCGCTCACGTAA